TCTTCTTTCCATAGCCATCTGTTGTCAACGTTCTGGTTCCGCATCCCTATAAGCAGTTGGCCATACCGCATTTGGGCATTAAACGGTTCTGACTGTAGGCGGCAATTTTTTGAAAGCGGCGGCATTCCTCCACACCTCGCACTCCCTGTCGCACGATGCGTTATTGCCCAGTTCTGGACCAGAGGAGGGAATGGTCCGAGACGCTTAAGATGCTTAGCTGTCCTTAATATACATGCTCGTTGAGTTTTTCCGTTTCACGGATGACCATTGTAGTTGGCTATACGAATTTGTTTTTGATCATCTTCGGCTCAGCCCCTTTTACCCGAAGTAAAATTTGCTTGCTGTAGCTCGCGTCGCATCGCTTAAGCTACTTCCATGCTTCTTCCGGACGCCGATAGTGTCAGCAAGTCGGAGATGAGTGAGTCGTGTCTGCTGATTAAAGATTTTTCACTCCGTTTCATTTTGCACGATTCTGATTCATAAAGGCGGTAAACAGTTTTGGCGATGAGGGTGTCCCCTTGAAACTCCATTAGAAACCTTGATTTCAACTGAATCTTCAAACAAGTGAATCTGCTGCAGGTTTTTTCAAGTGTCCTTGCTCACGCTTCTGATAGAAGAGTGCTGTTCGTGAGGATCTGCAGTCTGGTGGCGCTTCGCTTCAATGGAGATACCCGGCAACAGTCTTGCCACGGTAATGTTTAACTTATGTCCGGGTGTGAGCGAAAATACGAATTGGGCTAATAGCTTTTTCACCGTTTACTGGAGACAAATCAGCCCGAAGTTCACTGGGCAAAACATCAGGCACGGTGGTCATGTTTTTCTGTGCTATCACCAACAGTGTTAACGACTGATCTAAAAAAACTGTCACAGAAACGTTTGCCCACCTCGTCCATTGACTTGTGATTTGCTGTTCTCTTTCCGGAGTGATTTTAGCGCTGGTAAATACATTGATAAGGAGATAAAGATTCTTGTACATTTTCGCCTGAAAGAACAGTGTGTATTGTTTACGCGAGAAATGAACAGCGCAGCCGTTGTTGATATTTACGCATCTGTTTTTATTTGCTATTTACATCCTGTGCTGATTTTCAGACAGCTGTCAGGTGGATGAAAGCGATTCGTAGTCGCAGGGCATACCAGTTAGACGGCGGATATCTCGCCTCCCGGCTGGGGAAGGGGGGGGTAAAACATGCGAACACCATGCAGTAGCTCTTATCCGCAGGCTAGCACTTGGTACTTGCTTTTCGGTTAGTTGTGCGGATACGCAACGAAGTGATTTCGATGTTCAAGAAAATTAGCTCTTAACGAGAGGACTCCTACGTCAAAAGCCAGATTTGAGCCAGGATTCGCCAACGTGCAAAGCAAACTATTGGCCAATTGCGTCTCTACCCTTCACTCTGCAAGTCGAGCCCTAGGCAAGCACTATAATTTGTTCGGCTTTGTCGACGGCTAATGTTGAGCGCAACAGAGAAGTTAAAAAAATCGCGATGTGCGTCTATGCGGCTAACGTGTGTTCTCTCGCGCCAGGAGCCGCGCTCTGAGCGTCGAGCGTCGAGTTCTGAGGTTCGAGTGTCGAGTGTCGAGGGTCGAGTGTTGAGTATTGAGTTGAACGGACAAAGGGCTGCGCGGCTCCTGTAAAGTTCGCAATCATCGTTGTTCGCGTCCCCCGTCTCCTACGGGATCCAGGTTCATCAGCACTGAAAACAACAAAAAAGCGGCCAGTGAAAAACTACAATCCGTACCACTTTCGAAAGCAGAATAAACAGGCAAAAAGCTGGCACGCTGGCTCCCTCCTGTGGCCGGAGTAGCGCGTTCTTTCGACGGCAATGAACTTGTGCCGACGGCCAAATCGTGCCAACAAAATAAACAAGTTGAAACCGCCGTCGCCGTCGCCCTCACCTTACGGGCGGAAGGCTGTGTGGCCGGCCGGCGGGGGCTCCGGCGTCGGGCCTAAACCACCGACGGTCGACAGTCAAACGCGCTGTCACTGGGGCGCAACAAACGGCCGAAAGCGAGGGCCAGTCTCCCAACCGGAAAGCCGTTTCTGCGGGTCTTTTTTTGCCATTTAAGGTCAAAACTGAGTAAATGAGGTCTGCCGAAATTCGGCACCCGCAATCTCAGGAAACACGCAAAGCTAGCGACAGTAGGGCACCGAATTCTGCCAGTGAACGGTTGCTAGGGCCGCAACCGTTGTTTCATCATTTTTCTTCGTCGAACTTTCTTTGACTCTCTTTCAAGTCTCGTTACTCGGCGGCTGCAGCGGCGGCGGCGGCGGCGGCGGACACGCCAAACCAATGCAAATAGCTGTGCTGTGCCCATAAGTTGTTCTTATGGTAAACGCCACTAGAAGAAAAAGCCTCAGGGTGATCGCGACTCTATCTAAAACCTAGCCCTGCTTAATTCGACGTTTCTTTTGGTCGGCTCAGCAAGCATTCCGGTAAGAGATTAAGCAACTGCTTCGCCGTCTCTATCTAGCCGCAGAACCAAGAGATCATTCGCACAAACTATCTTCGTGTGCCCCCAGGCGAAAACCTGCATTTGAACGCACGTGCAGAAAAGGTGGTCATTAAAGTGCAACGGTGAGGCCATTTTTTGAAACGACTCACTTCATTACATGCCGTGTCCCCGAAGGAATCTGGAAACTTTTTTTTAACAACTTACATGCTTCCTCTAATTACTTCTGCTTCGCCACTCTGCATCTTCTCACCTGGTAAATTGGACCCACGCAAATCTCGATCAATTCTGAAAATAGTCGGTAGAACAGTTTAACTGTCTTATATGAACATGGCATATGTTGTGATAACTCAGACTGTAAGATATATTTTTAACGCTTGTAAATCTACTCAAACCGTTCATTTTGATCCACTGCACCAGGCTCTTCCAGGTCTGCTTTCACAAACTCCCAATATGCCTCTGTGCGAAAATTGTAGCATACATGATATATGTGATCTCGTAGATGGCTCGGATTTCGCAGAAGGAATGACGGGGAAGGCGGAATCTACTCGAACCGATTCTCACGCTAACCGTTCATTTATCTGTTTATATGAATTAACTTTCTATCCACCAATCCGTTTTCGCTTCATCATTTTGTATTTTCTCTTTTGTCACTGTGCGTTTTGTTTGTTCTAATGCGTTATATGTATAATGTGTTAGTTTTGCGTGCCATTTCAATTAATTTGGGCCGCAGACTCTTCTGATTTGCTGATTTTAATTTTGAAACACCCGGCACAACAATAATCATTGCTGAACAACGGCGGGAAGATAAATCATCCGTGTCATTGAGCAGTAGGGATGATGCCCCTTGTGACCTGAACTGTGCATACGTTTATGTGTGCTAAAAATGCATTTGTCCACGCTTCCTTTAGCTGACGATGAGATGAGTGTTCAAGCAGCTTACGATTCGTC